GCAGGCAGGCCGGCAGGCAGGCAGGCAGACAGGCCGGCAGGCAGGCAGGCCGGCTGGCAGGCAGGCCGGCAGGCAGGCAGGCAGGCAGGCAGGTGCTCACCAAAGGCTGGAAGGGCAGGCGCTCGCCGGGCGAGCAGGGCCGGCGCTCGGCGGGCGGCGACCAGGTAGGCGAACGACGGCGGCGACGGCGGGGTCGCAACAGCGGTTGCAGAGTAGGGCCGCAGCAGCTACAGAGGCAGAGTGGGGCCGCATCAGCGGCAGGTCGGGGCCGCGGCAGCTGCAGGGCGGGGCCGCATCAGCGGCAGGTCGGGGCCGAGGCAGAGGGCCGCGCGCGGCTCGGCGCAGGCTGCGCGGACAGCGCGCTGGGCTGATGCAGGCCGCGCGCGGGTCGCGCGAGGCAGTAGCGGGCCGCGCGCGGCTCGGCGTGGGCTGCTGCAGGCCGCGCGCGGGTCGCACGAGGCAGTAGCGGGCCGCGCGCGGCTCGGCGCGGGCTGCTGCGGGCCGCGCGCGGGCTCGGCGCGGGCTGCGCGCGGCAGCAGCGGGCTGCGCGCGGCTCGGCGCGGGCTGCGCGCGGCAGCAGCGGGCTGCGCGCGGCTCGGCGCGGGCTGCGCGGGCTCGGTGCGGGCAGCGCGCGGCAGCAGCGGGCTGCGCGCGGCTCGGCGCGGGCTGCGCGGGCTCGGTGCGGGCAGCGCGCGGCAGCAGCGGGCTGCGCGCGGCTCGGCGCGGGCTGCGCGGGCTCGGTGCGGGCAGCGCGCTGCAGCAGCGGGCCTGAAGGGTCTGTAGGGGCGGCGCGCGGGCCTTACGGGCCTGCAGGGGCAGCGCGCTGGCCTAGGGCAGCAGGAGGCAGCGCTAGGGCTGCTGGACGGCGCGCGTAGTGCAGCACGTCACAAGGCAAGGCAAGGCAGGCAGGTACGTGGGGTAGCGCGGTAACCGCAGCGGTAGGTGGGCCCGGAAAAAAAACGGTCCTACGGACCTTAGTGCTCTGAAACCATGTTAGAATCTAGCAGCAGGAATGAATGAACTAGCAGCATGCAGGAGTACAAGTAGTAAACCCTAATTGGGTTGTACCCCATATGGGCTACCCCACTACAGCCTAGACAATATGCAGCATATATGTTTGACACTGACCCTTGCTGCACAAGGGGAAGACCGTGGTGTAACGCGTGTAGTCGTCGACGACCAGCAGGAAGTACCGCTCGCGGCCCTGCCCCTAGGCCTGAGCCGGCGTAGTACCAGGGAGAGCAGACTCACTAACACCTAGAGCTGCAGCCTCTATACATGGATCAGAAGGCATACACAAGTAGCAGTCACCCTCAGCACTAACAGTCAATGCATACATGGCAGCAAGAATTGCATCATAGTCAAGATCAAAGATAGGAACACCACGCCTAAGCAGGTCTGCCCAGTTGGGGAACTCAGTAGCCTCAGGAAACTTGGCGCGCCAGGCGTCGCTAAGCCGATAGAAGCAGCGGTACTCATTGTGAAACCCGCCGCATGGCCGACCAGTGCGGGGGCCTGTGCGAACGATATACGGGCAGCGGACAGGACCCCCAGACACCCCACGCTGAGCATACCATTCATGAAGCTGCTGAGGGGAGAGGGTCTGCTGCTGACGACGCTGCTGCTGTTGCTGCGGCTGCTGCTGCTGCTGCTGCTGCTGCTGCTGCTGCTGCTGCTGCTGCTGCTGTCCCTGGCCACCACTAGAGCCCCCCTTCTGGCCGGTTCCACTCCAGCCCGCACCACCGCTGCCACCACCGCCCCCGCCTCCTCCCCCACTACCGCCGCTGCCACCTCCACCGCTCCCAGTACCACCGCCGCCCCCACCACCACCTCCACCTCCACTACCACCCCCACCACCTCCACCACCCCCGCCGCCTCCACCACCGCCCCCTCCACCGCCACCTCCACCACCCCTGCCACCCTTGCTGCCCCTGGTGCCGCTGCGCTTCCCACTAGGAGCGGAAGCAGCTGCGACCTTCTCAGCACCGAGGAGGTCGACGGCAGCAGCAGCAGAGGCGTAGGAGGGGGCAAGGGGGGAGGGGGAGCACCCCTCAAAGAGAGGATTGCGAGGAGTGCCACGAGCAGCACCTACAGCGAGGATGTTCTTTTCTGCTGCTAGGAGCTGCTGCTCGAAGTCGGCTAGAGTGAGAGTGGTAGGGTCTTTGGCGAGGAAGTGGTCCCTGACTGAACTGAGAGTGTCAGGGAGGCGGGTGACGAGGATGTAGAGGGTGAAGTACAACGGGGGGGGGTTCTTGGCGAGGAAGCCGTCTGGAAGGGCGGCACGAAAGCGAGCGTCACTAGCGCGGAGGTGAGAGATAAGGTCCTCAGCGGTGGCAAACGAGGACAGGTCTGGGAACAAGTAGGGCAGGATGAGACGGCCTACGACCGCAGTGGCTGGGGACGAATAGCGCGCAACTACAGCCTCATACAGTGCCTTAGCAGTCTTGTGCTGGCTAAAATGCGCACGCTAAGTGATCGGCAGATGGTTGCGAATAGCGAGGCGCGCAGCAGCATCGCGAGTCTGCCCTTGTGAGCGGTCAAGATCAAGAGCAGTGTCAGCAGGAGCAACGGCAGTGCCAGACGCGTGATCGAACAGTGAAACGCCGTCTTTTGCATCAGTCATAAGAAACAGTTGCAGGTCATCAAGCTAAGTGGCAAACTCAATCGGGCGACCGTCAGGCTCAAACGCGAGAACATTAAGCGTCGCCATAATCGCAGCGCAGGCGAAGGCAGCAGGCAAAGGCAGCAGGCAAAGGCAGCAGGCACAGGCAGCAGGCACAGGCAGCAGGCAAGGGCAGCGCTCAAAGCAGCCGCAAGCTGCACGTGGGCTGTTTGGGCGATGCGCTAGCAGCGCAGGCAGCGCGCGGAGCAGCAGCGGGCCGCGCGCAGGCTGCAGAGGCGCGGCGCGGACAGGTAGGGCGGCGCGCGGGGCTGCAGCGGGCGGCGCGCGGGCTGCCACGGCGCGGCGCGGGCTGTGTAGGCGGCGCGCGGGGCTGCAGCGGGCCGCGCGCGGGCTGCCGTGGCTCGGCGCGGGCTGTGCAAGCGGCGCGCGGGGCAGCAGCGGGCCGCGCGTGAGCTGCCGAGGTGCGGCGCAAGCAGCTAGGGCGACGCGCGGGGCAGCAGCGAGCCGCGCGCGGGCTGCCGAGGCGCGACGTGAGCAGCGAGGGCGAAAGCTGGCAGCGCGCGGGAATTAGGTCTGCGCGCGCGAAGCAGCAGCAGACAGCTCAGACAGCAGACAGCAGGCAGCAGGCAGACGGCGCGCGCAGCGCAGCACGTCACAGTCACAGTCACAGTCGTGGGGTAGCGGTAGGTGGGCCCGAAAAAAAAAAGACGGTCCTACGGACCTACTGCTCTGAAACCATGTCAGAAGTCTAGGCAGGAATGAATGAACTATCAGGAAGGTGGGTACAAATAGAAACCCTAACATTGGGTTGTACCCCATATGGGCTACCCCACTACAGCCTACAGACTATACTACAGCATACATATATATATAGTTTGACACAAAGTTCTCTGACACAAGGCTACTGACGGCTGCGATCGCTCCACATCATCCTCAATCGAATCGAGACCCTTCACAGCTTCGTGTCAGCCCGCCTGACACCGGCCAAGAACGTTCCCTGAGGCTTCGAGTTCGAAACTCGTCGGCTGGCTCTGCCAACTATGTCCAGTCATTCTACCGGTGGGCAGATAATGTTGGCGAAAATTTTGCCAGAATCCGTAAATCTAGCCAATTTCGGCAAGTATAACCTCGCTACAGTTTGATTTGAATCAGGCCCCCCTGGTAATAGTTGGCTGAAATTTCAGGCTTAGGACAAGAAAGTTAGCAGAAAAATCAGTATGGGAAAGAAAATTTTAACTTTTCAATCAGCCGCGGGGCCTAAAAAACTCTGAAAATCAATGTGCAAACCCAAAATCAGGGTAAAATTCCTGAAGTCTGAGGCCCTGTTCCTGAGCTTCTTAGATTCTGAGACTAGGCACGATCTACTTTCTGATCGCAACAGACAACTTGACAGGCTTGAAGGGACGGGTGGGGCCAAAAAGACAGGAGCATGTGTGCCTCACGGAACGGAACCTTTATAGAAATAGTTCCCACGTACTTTTCGTATTGTGGTGTGGACTGTAGAGCACCAGTGCAGGTGTTTTGCGTGCCTTGTAGAATTTAATTTTAATATAAGTGTTGTAGATATATGATAGCTTGTATAAGTATTTGACTGGTGCAATTACTACACAGATGAAGCATGAATTTGCTGGTACGTCCATGTCAGGTCAGGTGCTCGACTTGGGAAGCCATGAGTAGGGCACAGAAAGAAACAGCAAGGTACCGTCATCGCCCGGATATAAGACATATATGTCTTACCGGTATCTCGTACACGGGCAAAAATGCTTGGGTTATCTTGTATTTGGGACGGTTTAGGGTGTCTTATAAGTCTTATAAATGGACAAAGAACCGTTTAGAAGATACCCCCTCGTTATACAATTGCCCCTAACCCCTACACTTGCCTAACCCGTACACAAAAATATGTGTCTTATAATAAGGCTAGCCTGTTTATAAGAGACACCCGTATAATAGACAACCCCTGTCTACTATTCAACACTGTCTTATATCCGGGCGATGACGGGTAACAATAAAAAGACATGGCTAGATTTTGTAAACAACAAGCAGCAAACAGTAGCAAAAGCGCGAAGGCAACACGGAACTTGAAATACAAGATGCAACTTGCCCTGTGTGTTCCTCGCCTTGCCTTGGCTGGGTGTAGCAGCACCGCCCATCGCACCACACACCAAACCATGCATGCACGTTGAATGGATAGGTGGCGGTGGCGGCGGTGAGTAATAGGAAATAACGGAAAGTTTTCTCCACCAGTGAGCCGCCTCTTTCGATAGATCATTCATCAAGGTCCAGTGAGTCCTCCACCTCTGCAACGGCCGTGGAGTAGGCGTTGAAGAATTCTCAAAGGCGCTCCTCTCCTCCCAGTGGGGTGTCTTTCAATGCATCATCATTCATCGAGGTCAAGAGAGTCCTCCACCTCTGCAAAAGCTGTCGAGTAGAAGGCCTTGAAGAGATGGTATGCCGTGTCTATGTCGTCCGATGCACACATCTCCCGGATGCTGCACATGGGGTGAGGAGGGGTGTGTGCGGAGGAACAGGGGGGTATGGAAGGAATGAAGGAAGGAAGGCGTTGAAGAGATGGCACACTGTGTCGATGTCGTCTGATGCACACATCTCCCGGATGCTTGGATGGAAGGGAGAAGGGAAGGCTTTGAGGGGATGGAGTGCACTGGTTATGCCATTCGAGATGCACATGGGAGGCAGTGGGTGGAGAGTGGTGAAGGGGGGTGAAGAGGGGGCGTACACAATGCACACGGACAAGGGGGATAAGGCCCGGGCATAGCATGGCATGCCATGGTTGCGTCTTTACTTGAAATGCCCAAAACACACGCATACACTCTGTCACAGCACCGCACCGCACTGCACAGCACTGCACCCACCTGTGCATGGAGAGCTGCGGGATGCCGACGTCCACGGTGCGAATGCCCAGACCGGAAGCGAGGATGGGACCGATGGTGCTGCCACACCCCATGTCATTGCGCACCACAAAGGACTGCATGAGTTGGTTGGGGAGGGGGGGAGGGCGGGGAAGGGAAGGGGAAAGGGAAGCTTGAGAATGGGTTCCAGAGGCGAGGATGGGACCAATGGTGCTGCCACACCCCATGTCATTGCGCACCACAAAGGACTGCATGGGGGGTGGGGGGTGGTATTGGGGAGGGGTATGGGGAAGGAGCACCAGAAGAAGGGAATGGGAGGAATGGGCAGAGAAGGGACAGTAAGTATTTGAGTTGCCTGCACAGAGGTCAGGAGAGAGGATGGGGCCGATGGTGCTGCCACGCCCCATGTCATTGCACAACACAAAGGACTGCGTGGGGAGGGGAGGAGTACGGAGCAGGGGGAGGGTATGGGGCGAGAAGCATGGGAAGAGAGGAATGGGAGGGACAGGCAGAGAAGGGACAATGAGTAGTTGAGGTGCTTGTGCAGGGGTCGATCAGTGTGGGATGTGGTCGATGGTGCTGGTGCTGGTGCTGGTGCTGGTGCTGGTGCTGGTGCTGGTGCTGGTGCTGGTGCTGGTGCTGGTGCTGGTGCTAACAACTACAAAAAAAAAAAGGTATCAGAAAGGCCTCTGGAAGAAGATGGCTCAAGAGAAGCAGCGCACCTGGCAGGGCAGGCCGTGTTTGGCGGTGAGGTGCTTGAAGAGGAAGGAGGAGAAGAGGTTGGTGGCATAGCCCTGGTTGATGTTGTGCTTCACCACCATGCCGAGTCTAAGTCGTTTCAAAAAGACTCTGCAGCAAGGCAAAGCAGAGTGCTCACCTGCTCGCTCCCTCACGCACCCACTCAATCGCTCACCCATCCACTCACACACTCACCAGCAGAAGCAACAGAAGCACGGGCATAGCAACCGCAGCGCACCTGGCAGGGCAGGCCGTGTTTGGCGGCGAGGTTCTTGAAGAGGAAGGAGGAGACGAGGTTGGTGGCGTAGCGCTGGTTGGCATTGTGCTTCACCACCATGCCCGCCCCCATGCGCGGCTGATGCCGCTCCTCATGCTTCTCGGGGTAATTGGGATGCAGTGCGTGCGCCATGTCCGCACTCACTGAAGGGAGGGGAGAAGGGGAGAAGGGGAGTGGGGACGGGTGGGGATGGGTGGGGACAGGTGGGAAGGTGTAACAAGGGACGGTGTTTTAGTCGGCGTAAATGAAACCTGGCACTAGTTGGGATGCAGTGCGCCATGCCTGCACTCACTGGGAAGAGGGCAGTGTGGGAAGGAAGAAAGAGGTTGTGTGTTGTTTTTACTCGGCCGGTAGTGTCCAAAGTGGAGGCCGGTGCTGCTCCTCGTGCCTCTCCGGGTAGTTGGGGAGCAATGCATGTGCCATGTCCGCATTGACTGCGAAGGAGGAAAAAAGGGAGGAGCAGGAGGGGTGGGGAGGGTTGACAGGGTTTAGTTTTTACGTTGACTTGAACGGCGCCTGGCAGTAGTTGGGGTGCAGTGCGTGTCCGCCACTCACTAGAAGGAAAGGAGGGAAGGAAAGGAGGAGGAGAGAGAGGTGATGTGCTTGACTGGGGGATGCATCCAGGGTGGAGGCTGGCCTGGTGGTGCTCCTCGTGCTTCTCTGGGTAGCTGGGATGCAGTGCATGTGCCATGTCCGCTCCGCACTCACTGGGTCCTCTCACCCACCTAGCAAGCAACCACCCCCTCTCACCCACCTAGCAACCACCCCCTCTCACCGACCCACCTAGGAACGAGGCGCGGAGACTCCTCTCCACTGCACCCTCCTCTGCATTGACTCCGGGCATCTGCTTGACGATGCGCTTGATGGCGTTGTACATGGTAGGCGATGCCGCACCACTCACTGACTCCGACCCCACCTGGTGACCATGGACGCGCACAGATGGGAGAGAGAAGAAGCAGGGCGGACCAGGGGGTGGGAGGGAGGGACATGAGAGGGGAGAAACACGAGAGGGTAGAGGCAAGGAGAGGTGAGAGGGAACAAGATGATGGGCTCCATCTGCTGAGATGTACACGTAGCAAAGAAGAGAGGGTGCCTTCCTGCCTCACAACCTTCCCTTCCCCACACACCCTCGACCCCACCCACCCACCCACCAACCAACCCACGCACCTTCTCGTTATCGAACAGCGCCACCAGTATATGAAGTAATGTGTTGAGACGTCTCAAAACATTACTTCATAAACGTGCCCACCAACCAACCAACCAACCAACCAACCAACCAACCAACCAACCAACCCACCAACCAACCAACCCACCAACCAACCAACCCACCAACCAACCCACCCACGCACCTCCTCGTTATCGAACAGCGCCACCTGCGCACGCCCCGCTCCTCCTGCAGCCCCTCCGCGTCGATCAGCGCCTGCAGGGCCGTGTAGCAGCACGCCAGGTTGTCCAACCGCCCGCTGAAAATGAACTCGCCTGCTCCCCCCGCGCCCGCTACGCTGCGCTGTGTGTCGCACACGTTCAGCTCGAAGTCTAGGATAGCGGAGGGAGGGCACGATAGCTGCTCTGCTAGAAGCTGTGGTGGGAGGGTGGGTGGGGTGGACAAGGAATACGATGTGCTAAGCTGTGTGTCGCACACGTTTGGCTCAAAGTCTAGGATAGCGGAGGGCGGGCAGGATAGCTCCTCTGCTAGTAGCTGGTGTGGTGGGTGTGTAAGTGCGGGGGGGAGGAAAGGGGACGGGGGAAGGAGGGAGGAGGGGAAGGGGAAAAAAGGGGAGGAAAGAGGGATAAATGAGGGAGATGGAAGAACTGAATATGAACTCGCCCGCTCCCCCTGCGCCCGCTACGCTGCACTGTGTGTCGCACACGTTGAGCTCAAAGTTTAGGATAGCAGAGGGTGAGCAGGATAGCTGCTCTGCTAGCAGCTGGTGTGGTGGGTGTGTAAGTGGGTGTGGAGGAAAGAGGACGGGGGAAGAAGGGAGGAGAGGAAGGGGGAAAAAGGGGAGGAAAGAGGGATAAATGAGGGAGATGGAAGAACTGAATATAAACTAGCTTGCTCCCCCTGCGCCCGCTACGCTGCGCTGTGTGTCGCACACGTTCAGCTCAAAGTCTAGGATAGCAGAGGGCGGGCAGGATAGCTGCTCTGCTAGTAGCTGGTGTGGTGGGAGGGTGGGTGGGTTGGCATGCGTGTGTGTGGTTGTGTTTGTGTGGAGGAAGGGCAGGTGGAGAGGGAGGCGAGGGGGAGGGAAGAGGGGAAGCGGAGGAAGAGAAGAGGGAGAAATGAGCGAAATGGGAGAAATGAGGATAGAGCAAGTGAGCGAGGTGGTTGGGGATTAGGCATGTGTGTCTAGGATAACTGAGGGTGAGCAGGATGGCTGCTCTGCTAGCAGCTGGCGTGGTGGGTGAGAGGGGGTGTGTGTTACTGTGCACGCCCAATCTTTTCATCCATATTCATCATCACCCCCCTCTCCATCCCCATCCCCATCCCCATCACATTCACCCTTCCCATCCCCCCACATCCCCATCTCCCCCTCCCCTTCCCAATCAGCCTTCCATCGCCCCTTCCCTCATGCCTGGCTTGCCTTATGCAGTGCATTACCAGTCCTCTCCCTCAGCCCATCTACAGGCCTTCTCCTCTACCTCTCTTTCCTCACCTCTAGCAACAGAGGATGGTGCTCCGAGCTCCCATTCCCATTGCCATTACCCCCACCACCGCCACCACCACTGCCGTTGCTGCTGCCTGTGCCATTCGTCTTGCCATTCACCCTAGCCGCTGCTGCAGCTGTTGCAGCACCCCCCTCTGCTACACCCTGCCGGCTGCCCGAACCAGCACCATTAGCAGCAGCAGCGGCGCCATTGTTTGCGCGTAACTGGGCTTTAATGTGAGTGGCCAGGACAGGCACAAGATGGGTCTCCGCGTTGGGCTTAAACCCGTCTGTGTTCACGTTCCTGGAGTGAGGAACAGTCAGGAAGGAGGTGGAGAAAACATGGCAGCAGTGCAAGCGGAAGAGGGTTCAGGAAGTGGAGGTGGGAGTGTCACGGGAGGAAAGGAGGGTGGTTTGGGCAAAAACGGGGGAGGAGGAAAGGGGCAAGGTGGAGAGGAAAAGGGGGGATGGATGGATACAACAGGGCAGTTGGAGTAAAACAGGGGGTGAATCACAGTACATGCATGCATCTGCTGACCCCCTCTCCCTTTCCCCTCCCGCACCCCACTTGCTTCCACTCAGAAATCACAGTGAATGCATTTGTGTTTCTGACCACTTGCCCACATAATCCCAGCCCATCGCACCAATCATGAGCCCTACAAAGCCTGCCTCCAAACTCCCAACCCCAAACCCTAACCACCCTGTGCACCCACCCCACCCATTCCGCCCTCTCTACCCATTCCACCCTCCCTATCTGATCCGCCCACTCCCACCCACCGGTCGAGGTGAATCGCGAGAGTGGGAATCCGCAGAATTGGCCAGTCAATCTTCACCAGGCGCTGCACCACCCTGCCATCCTCCCCGTGCATTAGCACGCACCCACCCAACCAACCCTACACGTTCCCCCCAGCCCCACCTACCGGTCAAGGTGACTCGCGAGAGTAGGAATCCGCAGAATCGGCTGGTCAATCTTCACCAGGCGCTGCGCCACCCCGCCATCCTCCCCTTGCACAAGCACCCTCCCAGCCACTGAGAGGCCTTATCTTGGTCGCACTGCAGTTTGTAGGTCCCTCGTACCAATCACAAGCCCAACACAGCACACCCTTTCCTTTCCCAACAGCCCCAGCCACCCACCACCCTAACCCACCCTACCAACCCTACACGTCCGCCCCACTCCCACCCACCGGTCGAGGTGAATTGCGAGAGTGGGAATGCGCAGAATCGGCCGGTCAATCTTCACCAGGCGCTGCACCACCCTGCCGTCCTCCCCTTGCACAAGCACCCGCCCAGCTACTGAGAGGTCTCGGTCAAACCAGGTGTGCCAGAGGCCGCCACCGTAGGTCTGCACGGCGAGGGAGAGGCAGCCACCCTTGGTGGCGGCCGAGACGGGCTTGAGCTTCAGACACGGGCTGTCCGTGTGTGCTGCCACTATGCGCAGAGGGAGGGACGCGGGGGACGCCCTGGGGGAAGGGGGAAAGAGGGAAGAGGGAGAGGGGAAGGGTGAAAGGGGCAGAATACAGGAGGGGAAGGGGCAGGGGGGGAGAAAATGGAGAGAATGAGAGGGGGAAAGATAGGAGAAAGAAGTAGGGACAAAAGGGCGCTGGGAGAGTGGTGGATGCCCAAGATATTCGATTCGATTGGCCCGATACACACTACGTGCTATCCTTGTGGCACGTATGTCTCCCCAACAGCGAATGCCGCGATGGAGGAGAGGTCGCGAGTGAAGAAGTGCTTATCAATTATTATATTTAATATAGTTCACTTCGTATACACTGTCTGCTATGCTATCCCTGTGGCACTCACTTCTCCCCGACGGCAAACGCCACGATGGAAGAGAGGTTGCGAGTGAAGAAGTATTTGCCACCAGGCCTCAGCTGCCACTCGTCCGCCTCCCTCAGCTGCTCGTACCCTGCTGCTCTCAACAGATCCCGTGCCGATGCTGGTGAGGACAACAGAGAGGGAATGGGCAGGTGAAGTGGAAAGGCAGGGAAGTGCACGGAGAAAAAAAAGAGGGCATTCACTTCACATGGTACATGGATAGCCACGCGTCTGCCTCCCTCAGCTGCTCGTACCCCGCTGCTCTCAACAGGTCCCTCGCCGATGCTGGTGAGGACAGCAGAGAGGGAATGGGGAAGTGAAGTGGAAAAGCGGGGGAATGGATGGAGAAAGAATGAGGTCATAGTACATGGATTATGGATTGAATGGCTACAGGGTTTGGTGTCAGCCAACAGTTGCCACTCGCCAGCCTCCCTCAGCTGCTCGTACCCCGCTGCTCTCAACAGGTCCCGTGCCGATGCTGGTGAGGCAGCAGGGAGAGAGAATTGGAACGGGGAAGGCATGGGGACGGCAAGGGGAATGAATGGGCAAGCCACATGGTGGATGGCACGGAAAAGGCATGGGAAAAGGCACACATGGTTATAGAAAAACGCACTATCTCCCAAGCTCAATGACCAAACCTTGCACCAATCCTTTCATTCTGTAGCCAGAGGAGGATCTTCCTCGCCACGACAGACAATAACGAGAACGTCAAGTCGACTCACTCAAAACACGCACCTGTGGCGTGGAACTGTGTCCACGAATTGTTAAGGTACTCTATAAACGGTGCCACAACAGACAATAACGAGAACGTCAAGTCGACTCACTCAAAACACGCACCTGTGGCGTGGAACTGTGTCCACGAATTGTTAAGGTACTCTATAAACGGTGCCACAACAGACGATAACGAGAACGTCAAGTCGACTCACTCAAAACACGCACCTGTGGCGTGGAACTGTGTCCACGAATTGTTAAGGTACTCTATAAACGGTGCCACAACAGACGATAACGAGAACGTCAAGTCGACTCACTCAAAACACGCACCTGTGGCGTGGAACTGTGTCCACGAATTGTTAAGGTACTCTATAAACGGCGCCACGACAGATGACGACGCTGCGCCGCTGCTTCCGCTGCTGCTGGGCTGGAGGGGTCACAGTGGGGAGGCACGCGGAGGAAGAACGCGAGGAGATGAGGGGGTGAGACGGAAGGCGCGGGGAACAAGTAGCAGAGAGGCTTGGCGATGGGGCCCAGCATTTTGTGAAAAGTTGATTCTTTGCGATTCTTATAGAGCAGCATTCCATAGCGAAGCCATTCCAATGCTGCGACGCAGCCCTGCAGGCTAACACCCACCCGTGCGCTCGCGCCTCCCCCGGAAGGCGCCTTCCCTGCAACCGCCGCGGCCGCGCCGTCTGCTTCCGCCTGTCCGCGCGAGTCAGCGCTGGCGTCGGAAGCAGCGCAGCGGAATGACAAGGACGGCGACGGCGATGGCTTAGTCTGGTGCAGCCAATGGCGATGATGAATGCGACTGCTTGGCCGTCGCCAGCTGTCGCATGCGACAAGTCCCGTCGCGAAACGATTCGCGTAGCTCGCGCACAATGACTTGGCGGAGGCGCTTTGGAGGAACAGTGAATGCCTGCTGGGCTGGAATTCGCGCGTTGCGATCGCGTGCGACCCGGCGACAGTGAGGCGACGTCGCACAAGGTTGGTGGCAACAGGAGCGGAGCGTGCGACGCTTTGGGTGCCGAGGCGAGCGTGCATTGCGGGTACCGCGGCCATGGCAGGCAGAGCGACAGCGACTGTTCTTCGATAATAGGTGTCTCACTATGGGGTATATCAATAACTCAAGGCAGTTGGACCAATGTAGTGGATAATGTCGTCGCCTGTGACTCAGTGCAGATGCTTTCTATCGAGGATGGTAGTTGGTCGAGAAAGTCGACTGCAGGCGAATAATAACAGACTCGGTTACCAGCAGCGAATTCACAAGCCGACGACTGTGCCGAATAAGATAAAGTGCCAGAAAGGCTGACAGACAGACCTGCAAGCCGCAGCTTTACTCACCAGTGTTTGAAACTCTGAAGGTGAATGCAGGAGTCTCGCAGGCACAAGTTCAGTGGTCACCGGCTGCTGCGGCTGTGCGAGTCACTGGGCTCATCCGCAAACAAAGGCTGCTCTGTCGTTAGCCTAAATCCCTCGATCTTATCTGTTGTTGTGTTCTGTTTGCTCGCGCCACGCACTCCTGTCGGCCTAGGTATTGGTTGGCCCTGGATAATGGCTGCGGGAATGGGCCGGGTCTCCAACGGGGGCATCTGGCGGGAAACAGGTCCCAGGGACGTGTTCGCTGCTGCGTATGTGTGGAACTACCGAGGGCGACTCGCTTGCGAAAACCATTACATGTTACAGCTACCGTTGGAGTGCTTACCATATTTGCTCGTTACAATCAGCTCATCTTCAAGCTTGTTCATCGGAGTGGGATGGGAGTCATATTCAAGCCTCAACTAGTTATGCAGCTCAACAATGATAATCATTAACCATTGATTCAGAAAGGTTGCTGCTTTTGGAGCGAGCTCACGATACAGAGGCTGGGATGGGATCTGTTGCAAACACAATACAGTCATCAAGCACATGTGCAATTGGCATAAGTTGGAAAGCAAACCATGGTACAGGGTATATGGGTGGGAAAACATACAGAAACTGCTACTGCTAACCAATTGATCGACAAGCATAACGAGTCACTGAGGTGCATCAGAGAAAAGCATGGATGCATGAATTTGTGATTGTATCAGGTGTAAGGCTGCTTGTCGCCTTACCTTGAAAGGGTCGCTGTGGTAAGAACGACAGCCATGCGAGCAATCACATGGCTGATCACCACTTCCCCCCCTTCTGCAATAGGCCCCCCCAAGCACATCCAATTGCATGCTTGCTGATCCTCAGCTCCACACCACAGGGCATGCTGCATCCCTGCATTGGATTGCATGATGTCATTGCAGTACAACCATTGCTTCCACCATCTTCAGCCACCATCAGCCAGCATCAGCCACCATCAGCCAGCATCAGCCACCATCAACAGCATCCCAAAAGATTGCCTTGTCACCCCATTCAGTCCCATTCCATCTGCCACTCACACCCAGTACCAACATCCACCCCACCAGCCGCACTCACTCCTATCCATAAACGTGCCACCTTCACCGTGACAGATTGCCATGTCGCACCATCATTGCATCTCATCACGACACCACCACCACCATCACCATCACCATCACCACCACCACCACCTCTCTTTCCCCATCCATTCCCCCCCTCCTCTCCTTCAGGTCAAATTCAGAGGCGCCAGCCTCACCCCTTCCACAGCGCCGCCCATCGCCGTCAGTGCAGACGTGTTCTTCCCAAACAGAAAGTCAAAGTGGAACGCCTTGCTGCTGCCGTCCTTGGTACTGTACACGCCCATGTGCTGGAACAGCGACGGCACATGCACATACGCGTGCAGGCCGTTCTCTTTCAGATAGTCGCGCAATAGCAGGTCGATTGGGGCTCGCATGAAATTCCCTTCGACGAAATCCAGCAGTGGTGGTAACGCGGTAACGTTGAATAGCAGCGCTTGGGTGCAGCATGGGATTGAGTATTCGTCTGCGTGTTGCACTGGCCAGTGGTACGAGCGCGGGAGGTACAGGGATAGCACGGCCCAGGACTTGTTTGCAAGGTCTTCGGAGATGAAACGCTCAATTGCCGAGTCGTAACGATGGATGGGTTTCGTGTCGTCTTCCAGGAACAAGATGTAACGAGGGTTGGTAACCATACACTGCCGCACGGCGTACACGAAATCGATGCTTTCTTTCGCCATCCACATCCACCGAGTCCAATCCTTGTACTGTAGCTCGCTCGGAACAACCTCCTCCATACGCGTCTTGTTATATATAAACGCACAAACTTCCACGTTAGCGGGGACCACATAAACGGGGACAGACAGCTCCCTCGAAACCCTAACCGCCTGCGTGTACTGTTCCTCGACGGCCCGATTAAGCTCAGTGACACGTGTCCCGTCCCCCACTACGTTCCCCACATCCGCCGCCCCCGGTTGAAACCTATACATACACGACGCGCAAAACACTACCACCTTAATTGCGTGGTCCAATACACCCTCTCCCGAGGCGCGCTCGCCGTCCAGATCCCGTAAAAGCCGGGTGAGGAGCTGCCAACTGGACACGTTCGGCTCCACGGTTGGCCGAGGGATGGTGGGGATGGCAACGCACAGGCCTGAGCGGTGCCGCCGCGGCTGCTGCGTGTGGGAATGAGGTTCGGAATGAGGTTCGGCAAGAGGTTTGGAGTTAGCCATAGGTACGCGGGGTTCGTAGAAGCGTTGAGAGACGAAGTTACGCAGGTGGAGGTGGGGGCCAAGGGGCAATTGAATCTTTTTTTTAATCTGCCCGTTCTGGACAGTCGGACCAAGCTTGTTGGCTGCTTTGCGCGAGAACCACGAAAGCGAAGACGCTAGTGATGACGCGGACGACGGTGATTGGTCGAGATCGGCTGACACGGCGGTCGTACATCTCCGCCAGGTGAGGGCACAAAGCAGGAAGCAGGAGGATAAAGACACTACCCGAACCAGCATGGCTCTACGCGCAATCGCGGAAGGTCTGAGCTTAACGGCCATGATGGGACGGAAACCAACGATGCTGAATTGGCGATCGAAGGAAAGCGTCTTCGGCGCTACTGCTTTCAGGAACACACCTGCTTTCAGTAAGGAGAAGGAATGAGGAGCGTGGAACTCCAATCCAAAGGGATCAGAGTTCAAAATCGTGTGGCAGGGTCGAAGCAAATCTGTCTTCGTTAATGATTCGAGTGTGTTCCTTCATAGTTGAGGCTGCACATAATAAAACGGCCGTTGATATAAACATCCACAACTTTATTGGCTTTCCACAGTATACATTGTGCAGTCTTGAGTGGTATCTGGTTATCTCCAGCCGACTTCTCTAGAACTCCAACCCCAGCTGGTCACAAAGGCTTCAATACATGTGTTATTGGCATTCGGGATGTACAGATTAATGTCAAGGCCGGGCTATGCTGCAGGCTTTCACCTACCGTACTTTGCTAACAAGGCATTCAAAACACTGCACAGCAGAAACTGAGAAGCAGAATATAGGTATGGTTGATAACGTCTATGCCACAAACACAACAAAGATGAGGAGGAAGATAATAAGCACAAAGAAGATCTTGATAATGAGCCATCGGTTGGACGAAATATTGTTAAGATACTTGAGCAACGCGCCTTGTGCTCCCTCCACATTCGCCAGAGTGTCGTCCATGTCTTGATCGATACTGCAAAACAAGTGCAGAGGCGTGACATAATCACACATGATTAGGGGGGAGGGACAAACAATAAACCAAGTTGTATGCCGGTGGGGTTACCGTATTGTCAGCTACACCAACATTTCTAGCATGTACCCTCCTAACGGCGTGTATAATTTGGCGAAAATTGTCAAAGTTTGAACTCTAACCACTTTGCACCGTGGCGACACGTCTCTCAATCATATCCCACCGTGTACAACCCCTCTAAAAGGTCGAGCTTTGGCTAAAGTTCGACCCCGACTACACACGCACAGAAAGCAGAAAACCCCTGGTTTACCCCAAACGCTGGTTCAGTCCTGGAGCCCCAACCCCAATCACATAACCAAGTCGCCATCGAGGCACCCTTCTCGCTCACACACGGAGGGGAGGGGTGCGGAAGGGGAAATGGGATGGGAGCGGGAGCGGAGGGAGAGATGGGGAAGGAGGAGGAGTGAGGGAGGGGGGAGAAGGGAGTGGATGGGAGGAGAGGGGGTGGAAAGGGTGGGAGGTGGTGGTGGCTTACCGAATGGCCATTTCCCCTTGCTGCGCCACCATGGTGGCAAGGTCTCGGAATATTGTGCTGAGCTCCACGATGGTGGTTTCCACGTTCTGCAGCGCCTCAGACCGGCTGCTCATGTACAAGTCCTGCTGCGCTATCAGCGCCTGCTGCTGCCCCTGCTGCTGCAGCGGGTCAAACGGGTGGCTCCTCCTCGTGCTGCTGGTGCCGCAAGGATGGGGGAGGGACGGGGCAGAGGGGAGGGCAGATGGAAGAATGCGGCGGGGAAAGGAACAGGGAGACGCCGTTGTGAAGAAGGGGTCGCAGAGTGAGGAATAAGTTCTAAACATGCATCCACCTGTGTTCTTCAGGTCCCTCCATTGTCATATCACCACCTCTGATACACCCAACCCACACCCATACAAGCCTCCTTGTCTCGGCACTTCCACCAGCATTGTCAAACCACACCAGGACTCGAATCTTGCCAAACGACCAGCTCAATTTGTTTCAGTTCGGTTCCTTCAACTTCATATGCTGTCCCCTTAAGGCCAAAGGTGGCGGTGATGGGCCAGTGGGGTCAGGTGTCAGACCCATTACTTTAACCGACGCATATTACTGAACCGTACTACGAGCTGTGAATAAACACAGCCTGACTGTCTTGACATGTGTCTGCCCTCTTCTGACCGCCAATGCCCAACAAGTTTGTTCACAGAACCCATATTTCTTCACTCCCAACTCTTCACCCGACAGAACACATCCGACAGTGTCACCCGCCCACCTGGGAGTGTTGCTGGATAATTGTGAATCAGAAATGGCCGAGGACGCGCCAGAGGCTGCGGCCCAAGGAGACTTTTGAGACGTCTCAAGAGTGCTATGCACCCACCCGAGAATCCTACCCACACACCTGGGAGTGTTGCTGAATAGTTGTGATGCAGAAGTGGCCGAGGACGCGCCAGAGGCTGCGGCCCAGGGGGGTGGGGCGGCGGAGAGCGCGGCAGCTGCTGGCCGCTGCCGCGCGCCAGACGCACCCGCGATCCCCGACGTTGCGGAAAAGAGCTGGCGCCTGTTCTCGTGGACCTTGAGGTTCTGGGAAGGTTCGGGAGAATGGCAAGGGGCGGAAGGGGTCGCACTTGACCGTGAGCATAACACAGGGCAATTTTCGTGCACGCGTACAGCATCCGAGTTGAGAAATTATGGCATTTCCGCAAAAGCAACACACTTCAACGGCCATAACTCGGAGAGCCTGACGACGCCCCAACCCCACGCGCATAACTTCGCGGGCACATATGCTGGCAACATGACGTAGCGCCCCAATGACGCAGCATGACGGACATACCTCGGTTCGCATTGTAAGGACGTCTTTAAACTCCTTGGTGGTGTTCATGAGGCGGCTCTTGAGATTATCCACGACCGTGTTGCTGTGCTCACTCGTGTGCCGGTTCTGACCCTTCTTTCCGCCGCTGGCCTCGGCCTGTGCCTCGCAGAGCGCTTGAAGGTCTGAGATCGACGCATTCAACGCCGTGATGTCCTGCTTGATCACCGCCGTTAGATCTTGAATCTCCGCCGTTGGATCATCGAACATCGAAGTTCTCTTGGCCACTGCAGACGGGGTAGAAAATAAGAAGAATGGAACGGCAAGGACCACGGTCAGGGGTCGCTGGGATTCCACGTGACACCTGTACCGGCACCTTGCCTCCATGTAAAATAAGAATCAAAGAAACCAGCGAACGCTGCTGATCTATTTCCGAAAATCACGACTACGACCTCCTCCCTTGAGTTTCATACGCCGTTGATTCTAATCTTGAAAAAAATCATCACATACGTTTGGCAAGCTTCTGCAGCTTCTGCGTCGTCTGGTGAATACACAACCCGATTCGCGACGCTCTCCGGTTGAACTCTGATTGAACGGCAGACGCGGCAGAGCTGGCTCCCGGACCGCCTGCACCGGCGATTCCGCCGGGAGACCCGCCGACGGGAACGGTCGCGAGGCTCTTATCCGATGATCGCGCGAAACCACTGGTAACATCGCCATTGGCGGCTCCTGGCAGTGGCGGCGCTTTTTGAAGGCCTTCTGCGATGGCGAAGAGCTCTGCTGTTCGATCCCTGTACGACGACGGACCTACGCTAGTGAGAGCCGACGTGGCTGAAAAAGACGACGTCTGGCTGATTGGGGTCAGCATGGTTAGATAATCTGTAGAGTGTGGGAGGACTTGAAACGAGGAAACCCTAAGTGGTGCTGACGCGTGATTTCTCGAAACTACGAGCTATGATTGTGTTGACGGCTTTTCAGAGTCTGCCATGCACAGCCGTCGACTGGAGCCACGGAAAAGGCTAGACGAGTGCTTTCAAAAGAGAAGATAAGAAGGGAAGACTCGGGGACTAGTATGTACTGCGAATTGTATGACTTTCGGTAGCCAGATCTGCACCCTGTACGAAAACGACGTAGGCTGCTGTCGAAGCCTCGCAGACAATACAGATTAATAGTTGAGAAGCTACCCGAAAGGCGACAAGACTCTCTCGACCAGGTCGAATTCGAGAGCTACTTAGTTTACAACACTTTTTCTCCAGTCCCAATCCCAAGCCAATCACTCTCTACTCCCTCTCACTTGCTCAGCTCTATCCTCCCCGTTTGGCTAGCTTTCTGGAATCTGGATTCTGAAGTCCCTGCGTCATGTCCCGTCTAGGTATTTCATACTCACTTCGCACCAGGAATGAAATAGATGGAGTGGTATTTTCTGAGGTGAGGTAGGGTGGTGTGGTTTAGAGGGATTCTTTTCACACCAAAGAACGGCTATCGCGTGTGTCACTACGTTTACGCCATCCTTTGGGCTCTTCCGCCAGTGCCACCTACCTTCATGTCCATCGGATATTGGAAAGCGCACAGTGACTTGCCGGTGGTCGTTTAGCTTTCTGGCTTACTATTGGCTGGTGCATCTCAGAGTGCTAAACGATGGTCGCTTTCGCGGAACGTCATCGCTCCGTCGTGAGCGCGTGTGGAGGGGGCATCTGTAGGTTGCGGCAGCGCTGCGTTTCGTGGGGAGGACTTTCGCGCCCTCGTGGGATCGTTCGTTCGTGATTTCGCCAACGCCTTTCGTTGTACGAAGTAACCGTTGAGTTTCTTTGCAAGTCGCTGCAAAAATGGGCAACCCTCACAGCTCGGGGTGGTTTGGTTGACCAAGTTTCTAGAACCCCTAGGCCTTGTCACCTGCTACCGCTTTGCGAAACGTTATGGCCGCTAACCGTCTCCTCGGGCTGTGGTTACAACTCACAAATGCTGACTGTCGCCAATGCCAACACGTTGTCTCCTCCCGGTCTGCCCACAATTCTGACCCTCAACACCAAGGCCTTCGTGCTTCCCACAAATGCGGTCATCGGGATGGGCACAACCAATCAAAACTAGGCTAGTTTTGATTGGAGATGATTTTTACTCTGCCCAGACCTGACAACCAAACAAAACACAAGTATCACAACCAAGCAGCAAGCAGAAAATGGGGGATGACCTCACTTCAGTAGCCATAGCCCTTCATATCAGTCGCTGCGGCTAGATTCTACTCTCGAGAATCTCATTTCAGCTGCACATAACATTTCCGTGCGTCCGCCTTTTGGTCCGTTCAAATTAAGTTCAACAAAGATTGTTGCTCATATTCGATCTCACTGACTCGTCGACGAACACCACGCTCGCGGCTCGAACAATAGAAGCAACAGACAGTTGAATCACGCAAATTCTAGAGTCTGGAACCACCAGTATCAAGCAGTGTCAAAGCCTTTTCCTGTGAACGAGTTGCAGTATCTCGTCTGGCTCAAACTCGTTAGGCACAGTCCCGGTAGTCTAGGATTCGCTACTGTTTGTCCAGTAGCTCTTACCACTTCCTTGTCGTGGGATTCGGCGTTTCATCTTGGATCCAACCTTCCGTGTCCAAACACTGGAACCATGGCGTTCAGACCAACTCATCGAAACGAGTAAGTCCGTTCTTTAAGCTTTTCATCGTTCACTAATCATGGAATTTGACTGTGCATGCAGCATCGACGGACACAAGCAATCTCGCGTGCCGAACGGTTGTTGCAGCTCGCCATTCCATGCATATAACCTCCTCCCGCCGATCACTTTCTTTCCCATCCCCTCTCACAACCCTCGTCCCTACGCACCGCGGTTCTCATCCCTTTCTATCTTCTCCCTTGTCTCCATCCTGCGAGCATCGCTGCTGGCTGCTGGGCGGGCGCAGCAGCGTCGAAGCACGTAAAGCTTTGCGAAATTGGCCTTCATCCCCTCTTTTTCCCTCCTTTCTCCTGCGGAACCTGCTGCGCGACACACCAGCAGCGTCGGAGCACGTATAGCTGCAGGTGGACCGTCCTTCCCTGACTCTTTTTCCTCCCAATCCCGCCACTCTCCTTCTCCCTCCATCCAGCAAAGGCCGTAGCTGGCTGTTGGGCGACACACCAGCAGCGTCGGAGCACGTATAGCTGCAGGTGGACCGTCCTTCCCTGACTCTTTTTCCTTCCAATCCCGCCACTCCCCTTCTCCCTCCATCCAGCAAGGGCCGTAGCTGGCTGTTGGGCGACACACCAGCAGCGTCGGAGCACGTGCAGCTTCAGGTGGACCCTATCCGCTCAGGGCTGGACCAAGAAATCGGGTCTCTCAGGGACCAGGTGTCCAAGCTCAAGAGAGTGAGTCCGCAGGCATTGTTCGAGTCACTTTTGCTGTTTTCAAAAGCAGCCTCAGGTGGACCCTATCCGCTCAGGCCTGGGCCGGTTGGGCCTCTCAGAGAGATTGGATCAGGAATTCAGGTTTAATAGAGTGAGTATCGCAGCCAGGGCGTAGTGGAGAGAAGCGGAAGCAGAAGTGAGAATGCACCAGGTTATTAGGAATGGGTCTCTCTGGGAGGTGCAGCAGGGGACTGGGAGGAGACGACTGGAGGTGGATTGAAGCTGAGGCTGGGACAGGGAAAACTGGCCGAGCGTCTAGAAATGTAGGGGAATGGGTGTGGACGGGGAAGGTGCATGCTCCATTCTTTTCTTCCTCCAAACTCCCCCCTTCCTCTCTCTCTCTCTCTCTCTCTCTTTCTCTCTCTCTCTCTCTCTCTCTCTCTCTCTCTCTCTCTCTCTCTCTCTCTCTCTCTCTCTCTCTTTCTCCCTTGCAGTATCTTACTTTATATCCTCTCTCTACCCTCCCTCCCTTCAGCCTTAACCATCTCTTCTTTCTGTCCCCCGTCTGCTCACACACATTCATACCATTCCCCTTCTCCGGTCCCTCTCTTTCTTCCCCATCTTTCATTTCTCAAGTCCGTGCCTCTCCCCCATTCCTTTCTCACATTCTCTTTGTCTCCGTCCCTCATGTATACCCCCTTGTCCTTCTCTCATCCTCGCCCGTTCTGTTTCTCCGCATTGCACAGGTAGCAGGCGACATAGCCCTTGAGACGAAGCAGCAGAATGATATCCTTAATCAACTGGTGAGCGTGTAATCATCTGTTCAGATGTCACAACAAACATGTCTTTCCATCCCCTATTATATTGTATGCTATACCCCTACCTCAACTATTCGTCATGTTTCTACATGTTTCTCCAGTCTCATTTCGCTCGTTTTGCATCTCTCTCTCTCTCTCTCTCTCTCTCTCTCTCTCTCTCTCTCTCTCTCTCTCTCTCTCTCTCTCTCTCTCTCTCTCTCTCTCTCTCTCTCTCTCTCTCTCCCTCCCTCCCTCGCTCTCTCTCTCTCTCTCTCCCTCTGTCCCTCAGGAGCATACCATGGCTAAGGCACGGGCAGCAGTGCGCAACACAATGCGGAAGGTAGACAGGCATCTCAAGGGCAGTGGGTCCGCGCACCTGTTACACGTCATCCTCTTTGCACTTGCATGCTTCCTCTTTGTGTACCTCTGGAAGAAACTTCGGTGATGCAATGTACAGTTTCCATCTCAACCTCAGTACATAGAAAGAGTGATCAGTCATTGCTGCATATTGCCCCTCGCGTCTGCCTGAGCCATCGATTGCCTTAGGGGGGTTCATATTTGGCCGTGAGGCTCGTGAGCCATTCAACATGGTTTTGCCTGGTTACCCTGTTACAATTTTATGCCATGCAAGACACAAAGGTGGCATTGCTCTCACAGAACAAGAAAACCCAATGTTTTTGGCTTGTGAAGTTATTTTGGGGTTGGAGCAGGGAATTCAATTCTCACATCGTTACCGTATTTGTGACCAGAGGTTGGAGAAAAATACATATCTTGCATAATGTTACCTTGTACCTAATATAGTGCGAGTAGGATCTGGGCATGTATCGAGATAATGGAAAGAGTTTTGGACATTTCAAAAACATGTTTGGGAAATGTATCCTGCATGGTCCATGTTATGAGTTGTCAAACAGAGTTGCGCGGAATAACGAATAACGAGGCTGTGACTCAATGAAACTGACGATACAATGAAAGGCATGCGATTATATAGCGAGGCAACCTAGCTAGGCGGGAACCTCGGGAACACGAGGTTGAGTGCAGGTTGGGCAAAGGAAAGCCGAAGGCGACGCGAGGTTGCTTCGGCAGCAAGCAAAGCGGCCAAACCACTTCCGAAAGTTGGGGTTGTACGCGGTTGAGTAAACCCCAGTAAGGAAAAAAGGGTTTTCCTTACACTACCCCCCCCTTAAGCAATGTGGTCAACATCTGCGACACGCTTCCGTGCGAGGTAATTGTCTGAATTATATTCTTATACCTGCATGTAGTTCTAGCTGTAGTGTAGATATTAACTTTATAGGTGGTGCACCACTTTGTTTGCTATATGTACCCTAGTGCTATAGTGAACACCCATCTTTCTCTCATTCTCGACTCCCTCCTTGGCACCAACTACCTCGATTGCCTTGGGCCTAGGCTACTAAGCCTAGGCCCACTTAAACCCAACCACCTTTACCTTGCCTAAGTTCTGAGATGGTATTAGAGCATGTTAAGTCCTTGCCTGTGGGCCAGCCACTCGCTTCCGCTGCTGATTTTCCGGTCGCGCGCCTCAGGCGCGTTGCAATTTTCGTTCTGTCCCGCGCCCGGGTGCCGCGTGACGTTTTGTTTGAGCCGCCGCGGACCCGCCCCTGGCGCCCGCGACGGTGCCCTGAGCCGCCGCGGACCCGCCCCTGGCGCCCGCGACGGTGCCCTGAGCCGCCGCGGACCCGCATCTGGCGCCCGCGACGTATCCTGAGCCGCCGCGGACCCGC